TATATATATATATATAATTTCAAGTGTTTTTTTGTTGCCATGGAAATTTTTAGGATGAAAGCCATCAAGAACTAAGATTTAAGAATAAAAAGATAACTTATAATTCAAGTTATAAGTAATTTTCATATTGATATTTACAATTATCAATTGTAAATTTGTATTTTATAATTTATGAGTTCTTTTTATAAATTTACAAATAATATATATTTTGTCAATAGTAAGGACGAAAATCAGACAGCTAAATTAAGAATTTTCTATAATTAGGAGCTTTCGTATTTAAATTATTTACAATATCTTTATTTCATATTTATTTCCCTTTTAGCTGAATATTAAGATAAAAAACATATCTTATTAACTTACCTAAAATAGATTATGCACTTTATTTTGTACTTGAAATAGATTGTGATATTATTATTTAATGGAATGAAAGCAAAGGGAAAAGACATTGAAACTTGAGATCTTAGCAATGCTTTCATTCTCTAAGCTCAAATACTCTTTTTTATATCATATATCTCTAATTATAAGGAAAGTTTACCTATTTTTTTTAAAAAAGAAAGAGGATCCAATCTTTTAACAAAGGCTCAAATTTTTTTGACTGAATTTCTAATCCTTAAATAAAAGAGATTATTACCTAATTAGAAATTAATTTCTTATATACATGAAACTTCATATATATATATATATATATATATATATAAGGGCCATTAGCATACTAACCATTTAATTCTTATGTATTTACATATCTAATTCCAAAACATTACCTTTTAAATTTATGCAGCCCACATCTTCATCGCTTAAAAAAATGGCACCTGGAACATGTATTTTCATGCATTATTGGTGGCATTTATGTAAAAACGAAATTTTTTTTTGTCGGTAAGTCCTATAAATATACCCCAAACCGAATTTCATCCATGCCCTGATCCCCTCGTCCCTCATTGAAGCCATGGGAAGAAACCGCAGTAAGAGCCGGAGCTACAGTCCACGTCGCTATAGCCGGAGCCCTCCTCGCCGGAAGCGCTACGATGACCCACGCGATCGCTACCGTGGTGGGCCAAGCCGCAGCTTCCGGGACCGGCGAGGGGCGCCCTCTGGGCTTCTCATCCGCAACATATCATTAGACGCCAGGTGTCCTTCTCTCCATTTTCTTACGATTCTAGGTTTTGCATATCGTTTATTATTCGTGCCCTCTTGCTCTGGTCGTATTGTTAGGGTTTTGTGATTGGCCTCCTGCCTTCTTGACCCCGCTTCTTTTTTTGGATGGAAAGTGGTTCAAAGCAAAGTTATGAGAAATCGGCTATTTCAGTTTGTTAGGAGAAATCGGCTATTTCAGTTTGTTAAGAGAAATCGGCTTTTCAATTGGTGTTAGCTCTTCTCAAATAAAGTTTACTGCCTCTGCTTTCTCTAAATATTAGGTTTTGAATAAAACTTGGCTCTGTTAGGGTTGCTAGCATGTGTTTTAATAGATGTGTTTGTTGTTCATGTGAGAGACTGGAAAGGTAAAGCCTCAACATATGCCATCAATGGAGGTTGTGAATCATTGTTCCCTGCTAGCTGTTTTACTTTGCAACATATGCGATTGATATTTAGGGCAAATCGATAATACCTGTTCGCTGAGTTGCCTTCTACTTTAATTGCTTTAATAGAAATTTGGGTGTTCAAATCTACATGCATAATATGGTTTCATTCTGGAATGCCAAGACTAAAGATTAATCATAACGTGCTCAAAGGTAAATTGCTTCGAACTTGTTTTTAAACAAGTCCTATGTTGAAGCAATAGCTCCTCAAACAAGATTATAAATAATAAACAACTATTTGATTCTTATTTATATTAGCTTTAATGCCTATATAGTGAGACTTTCCACTGAAAAAATGGGCCATGTGACAATGGGATTTACTAAAGGAGCAAAGGTTTTGTGTTATCAATCATATAATTTTATATATTCTCAATATCTTTTAAATTGTATTCTCAGATGGCTTTGCTATGTAGGGCCATAATTTTTTATTTTTTTTATTACAATCCTAATTTATACCCCTGTAACTACTATTTTGTGTTGTATGGTCAAGCTTTCTTGTGGAATTCGTTTATTATATTTTCGAACAGATTTTTTCTTTTCTTCTAATGAGAAAAAAATTATTTGTGATTTGGTGACTCCAATTTTGTGAGTAGTTAAGTGTTTTTTTTCCCTTAACCATGCATTTGATATTACAAGATCATGGGCTGTTGGGACATCAAATATAACTCATCATTTCATTTTTTTCTCCTATTTAATAACCACTGCAAGTTCTCTTGCAAGACATCTTATTTGAAGTGTGCTATTTCTATATTTTCAAAGAACCATCTTTTTTAAGTGGGTGTAAATTTTAGCAGTTTAGTAATTAATTATAAAATTCATAACTTTTTAAAATCGTCTTACAACTCAACTTGACTAATTTAAGTAATTACTCATTGATAATCATCCTAGGGTTTGTTTTGTTTTGTTTAATGAATTTCTTGCATAAAGTAAAACAAATATATGGCTTTTGAAAATTTGGGTGTTTACTTTGATGAGAACAGAATGCAGTGTAAAATTTTGATGAATTTAGAATTCATCATACAATTCGAAATTGGTATACTCCGAATTCTTTAGATTTAAGAAATTTCCAAATACATTATAAATTGCATTCGGCTGCTGCCGTCATATGTTGGCCGCTCGTCACCCACCGCCTTCCTGCCACCGGCTGCCACCACAACCATGGCGACTTTCGCCAGTTGCTACCACCACCATGGCCACTGCCACTATAAGCCGGTCTCCCGCCACTCATTGCTTCACGCTGCCTTCATCGCTACCTATCCCGTTTTACATTGAGTTAATTTTTTTTTTCAAACCTAAAACCAAAATATAAATTTCTGTTTTTATTTTACACTGAACCAAACAATCCCATGCTATTTCAAATTTATTACATTTCAATTACATTACTTTCTTTTTTTAAAAGCAGAATAAACAACCCTCAATAGAAATCACCCTATCACAAATTGTATTAATCTATATAATTTAATCTTATAATTTCTTATATATCACTAGCCTAGGCTCGTTCTTTCTCTTTAAATTTTCTAACGTATAAGAACTAATATACATAATGCTTGGAGTTTTCTCATTTCTAATTAGTTTCATCTAATATGTGAACTCTCTTGTTTCCCATTGAAAAATTCAATTCATGTGCAAATATATTCTTAAATTAAATCTAGTCAACTTGGATAAGTTGTGACGTGTCACTTTAGCGTAATATCTCAGCCTACCATTATGTACTTCTCACCTCAAAGTTTAGGTTGTGATGCCTAGTTTCCAATGAGTTTAGGCTGTGATGCCTCGTCTCCGAGGAACATCCTAGCACATTAGGATAACCGTAAGTTAGCAATTTCTAAAATCTGAGATTATGATTTGTAAACAAAATATTATATTCAAGGATTTGAGATTATGATTTGTAAACAAAATATTATATTCAAGGATTTTTAGTCTGTTAAAAAAATATTTTGATTAGAAATTATTGCTACTAAGTACCAATTTGAAGTTGCATTCCGGGGACACAAATTGAATGATGGAAAAGAGAAAGCAAATAAGGCTGGCAGTATTCCTTTAGCTATTCAGGAATTCACCACTTGGAATAAAATAATGACTTCACTTGCATGCAAAATTTTTTTTTTAATCTTCTATATGGCATCACATCTAATTTCAGTCTACGTATCTCAATTTATAGAGTAAGGTTGTTTGTAATGAACTCACTGAATGAAAACGGACCAGAATAATCCTGACAATCATGAAATTCAACTAATGCATGATAAAACTGAAACAATCATGACAAGAAAATAGATATATGAACCAAAAAAAAAAAAAAAACCTTATAGTGGTTTCACCATCATAGTTTGCAAACATATCTTATGCATGTAATTTGATATTCCTCATTTGGCTTTCTATTGCAAATAAGGTCAAAATTGATAAGTCGGATATGGCTGCTACATGGTCAGGTTATATTTTGCTAAGATATTCTCCCATTGGTTTCCCCTCTTTTTCCTCAAATTTTATTAAAAAAGTTGCTGGTATAATTTTTTTCTTCATGAGCATCATTTTTTATTGTCTGTAATATGTGTGTGTGTGTGTGTGTGTTTTATTTCCTTCTTTTTCGATCAGGTAGGTTTGCTTTTATTACATTTAGGGTTCCTGTTTTCATACATCATGTTTAAATTATGTTTGTAACTATCCTAGTTCGCATGATTCTGCCAATTAACTTCAGCCAGAATATGGTCTTGTACCTTCGTAGTTTTTCAGATCGGATCTTACACATAATTGCAATACGGGATTGCTAACCTTTATTTTCTATTATTATTACATTGATAGATGCTGCAATCTGTTTATTAATTCATCTTCGCAATTTGTTGCAGGCCAGAGGATCTAAGAATCCCATTCGAACGTTTTGGTCCTGTGAAAGATGTTTATCTTCCGAAGAATTATTACACCGGGTTTGCCGTCTACTTTAACATATTCATATCTACTATGTCAGATCATTTAACATGCTCATCTGTTGCTCATCTGTTGCTCATTAAAACCTTAGTTGTGTCAGCTACTTCAGTATTGTCTTTAAGATTAGTTTGTTACCCCACACTAAGCAGTTGAATATCAAACATAATTTATTGTTACATTATTATATTAACTCGAAGTACGCTGTAAGTAATGCACAAATTAAAAAATCATAATAAAGGACGCACTTCTATAGAAATTTTGTTTTTATTGTACTAAACAATAACAAACTGTTCATAAGTTTTAAATTTATGTTCCTACATTCAATCTTGGTGTAATCTTAAGGAATTTTCTATGTGGAATAATTTGGTGGATTATTTTGTATACTGAAACATTTTAATCCATACATGGTTGAATGTTCTAAATCAAAGTTAGTGTGATAAGCTCAAATATTTAGTAAATTATTGCGATTAACTTTATATTGGTTGATATGGCATAAATTTGAAGGAAAATGTAGCATTCAATGGGAAGCAATTGTACAATCAATTTACGAATTGTAAATAAAGTAATTATGTGTATTTAGCTATAATGCAAGTTTTTTTTGTTTTATGACTAAATATTCATTTTGCCTTTATTTTATTATGTTGCTATTATTGGTTTCATTTAGGATCTTATGTGTGAGATTAGGAATGAATAAAGCTACTGTACCTTACAAGTGTTAATGAGGTTTTGTAAAGATTTTTGGATATTAAAGGGTATTATAATCATTCTATTAGGATTACACTACCTGTGATTGATGTCCCAAAAGAAAAATTAATCCCCTCTAAATCCTATTACACACAAACCAATATAATCATGTAGGCTAGATATAATCTTATTGAAGGCTTAGCAGTTCAGGACTTCTCTTTTGTGCATGTTTTAGATCTAGAAGATAAGTTATTGTTACAATATGAATCCACTTTTGATTTTAATAAATTCTAAGTTTCATTTACATTAGAATATCCTTATGAATCTAGTTCTATACTCTAGAGAGTGTAAGAATTTGAGTTTGAAACATAATTGGAGCATTGAATAATGTAAACTTCAACTTTGAAAAATTTAGTCTATTACTGTAACTAATCTTGTCTAATATAATTAATATATGGCTCAAGCTGGTAGATAATACAATTTTTTATTACTCATCAAATGAAATTATTTGTATGACGAATGATTAAATTGATATTGATTTTATTTTTAGTTCTTGTTTTTTTATATGCTGTTTCATAAAAAGATCGTTATGGAATATTAAGTTGCATTAATAATTCTTGGAATTTTTTAATCGCTAATGCCCTAAAATAAAACTGGAATTTAATACTCTATCTATTTGGTTAATTTTAAATTTGAATGATTTATAACAATTAGTTTGAATGCTATCTCGGTTGTTCTTCTTTAAATGGGTTGTTTGTCTACATGAGCATATGATATTTGTATTATTTGCTGATTTTTTTTTTATCATTGCAATTTCATAAGAATTAGTTTTACCATTATCTTTCTTAACATTTTTTATTACTATACTAATCATTTATCTGAATGGTTGGATGAAATTAACTGCTAATCACGATAATTATAAGATATTTATTGAAATCTATAGAAACCATGTGAAATGTAAATTTGGTGATAAGGTAGTAGTGCCTTTAAATTTATAAAGGTTTTCTATATAAGTTTTTAAGCAATTTAGTGAAGGATAATACCATATAAAACCATGCATTGCATTGAGGCAAATACTAGTAAATTAGAAATTTCAAGGAGTTTTAATGTTAGCTAAATCTATAGTTTGCTTGATTTGATTTCATGAATCCACAACTAATGTTTTAGATTTTTCTCACTTTCTTTCTTTTTCATGTCAATTTGGATCCAACACCAATATGATAACCAAATATCTATATATATATATATATATATGGTTTAGATAAAAATGCATACGTTGTGAAAAACGATGACAAAAAAGCATAAGAATCTTTTTATGAGGATTCTTTGATTATAGTGCAAGATATGCAACATTTATGTTTTAATCTAATTGTTGGATATTAAGGTTCTGTAAAACGGAGCTTTCCCATCACAATTACTTGGGAAAGCAGGTAAACCACTGTTTTGCCTAATGTATAAGCGGTGCAGTGTGGACCGCACTGCATCTCTACCACCACCCCTGACAGGCACTAAATGTTAAATTCGTTGAGCCAAATTTTTTAAAGCCTGAACTTTGTTGTGGAGATTCGAGTGTCCAAACTCTTTTAAAGTGTGAGTTTTGTGTGTTGCCATGCACAACTTAATAATTTGATATTTTTTTAATACTATTTATTTGCTTTATTTTGTATTTTTCGAACTTTAGTTTGTTTGGATCATTCTTATGTTGATGTTGCCTTTAAGAGCGACATTTGCTCTCTGTGTTCTTATTTTGTTTGTGTTTGGGTATTTAATTACAATTAATGTGGATCAAGGCTTCATTTAGGATGACCGATGATATTTCTATAACAGATGACATGTGAATTGCCATGCAAATTAGGGTTGGGTTGGTTTTTTTAATCAACTTTTTCATGTGATCTTGTTATTTATTTTCTGTTGCTTTACATGTTTGCCCTCTGCTGTTATGTTCATCTATGAGATTTGTTATGTCACTGATCGCTCTACTACACATGAATGGAAAAATCATTTTGAAGCGTGATTGGACTTGTGGGGGAATCCAATTCTAATTTTTGTGATGCTTATAAATAGCTTAATTTGTGGTACATTATTTGACATTTGCTTTATAAAATTTTATATTTTCTTCCCTCTCGTATGTTTAAATGGATATTGATTTCTTTGAGTGGTGCAAACTATCATTTTTTTGGGGAAGTCGTCCTGTATTGTTATGAGATTTTTGAATTGTGTTTGGTGGTCTCTTATCTTGTTTTTCCTTCTGCATAATTCCCTGATGGTTTACGCCAGTCATTTTAGTCAAAATTGTTACAATCAGCTTTATTCTTGTTTTGCGATCCTGATTAAGGTGCACATTTTTATGGTTTTATATTTTACATTGAATTTTCTTAATATGGATGACCATTGTATTTTATTTTGGTGCCGATTTCTCATATTTTTTTGGTCTGCATCAAAAGAAGATAAATGATTGTATTAATTGGTGATCCTTGGAAGTGCAAAATTAAAATCGGTTTTGTGTGTTTTTATATCATCATTTAGTTTCATTAGGAGCTGTAGATCCTATGTTTTCATACACCATATTTAATATTTATTGTGTAGGCTAATTGTGTAACTCTGCATATCTGGCACGAGTGAAGCATTGGTTTGTATTGTTAGCATATCGTACTTCTCAAGTAAGTGGAATTTGCTCTAATTGTTAGCTTAAACGATTAATTAGACATTAGAGTATTTTGTAGATTTGGGATGTGCTAGAAATATTCTTTTCCATTTATCTAGCCATTGAGAACTTGTGAGATTGTTATTTTCTTCTATTTATTATGAAATGAGTTTAGATTGTGTAGGAACTAATCTAATTTTATGATGCATGGGAGGCTCCTTTACTATACATGCATATGTGATTATTACCATCTTAAAATTTATGCATTTCATTTAATATTTTATTTATGAAGAAATATGTATTATTAACTTTTTTCTGAATCACTGTCAATTAAATCTGAGTTGGTTATGGTGTGATCATCTAAAAATGACTTGAATCATCTAGTCTTTGAGATATTTGTAATCTCCATATATGTTGCTGTAAATTTTTTATAGGATTTATAGTGATAGTTTGAATTCATGTTTTTGTTGTGGTCGGAGGTTGGCAAATTTAATGTTGGAATGATTTATAATTTCTTTTCGATGAAGAAAGAATGGACCAATTTTTAATGTAATGAACTATTTTTATTATCGCATTAGTAAAATGAAAGTTGAAGAAGAATTAAAGAAAATGAATGCGTGAAAAATCATTAGGACCTAATGATATTCTAATAGTGTCGAAATTTTTAAGTTAATTAAGAATTTCTTGGTTTACTAATTTTTTTAAAATTATCTTAGAAACTAAAAATATGTTTTATTGGAAAATGAATATTTTGGTCCCCATTTCTAGAACAAAGCGGATGCACAATAGTGTGCAAGTTATATAGGAATTAAGCTAATGTCATACATTAAAATTATGAGAAAGTGTAATTGGACATATGTTAAAGATGTAATATAAAGATTTCTCAAAATCAGTTTGTATTTATGCCCGAGAAGTCTATGATGGAAGCTATTTATTGGGAGGTTTGATGGAGAAGTATGGAAGTATGGATGATCTACATATAATTTTTGTTGGTTCAGAAGAAAATTTATGATAATGTTCCAAGAGAAGTGCTTTGGAGAGTTTTAGAAAAAAAGATATTGATATGTCTTATATTAAACTCATTAAAGATATGTATAATAGAGCTATTAGTTGTGTTAGAACAAATAGATGATTAACCAAATAGTTTCCTATTTCAGTTTGATTACATCAGGGATCGGCTTTAAGCCCATATTTTTTTGCTTCAGTTATGGATGTTCTTATTGGACATTTATAGGAGGATGCACCATGGCGTATGCTTTTTGATCACGATATCTTTCTTATGAATAAGACTAAAGAAAGAGTTCAGGAAAATTTTGAGTTATAGAGATCAATTTTAGAATCTTAATGCTTTTATTTGAGTAGATCTAAAATTGAATACATGGATGTAATTTTAGTAGTAGATCTTGTGGCAGGGTTGTAACTATTGGTAATCAAGTCATTAAAAGGAGGGAACATTTTAGATATGAAAGGTCTATTGTTCGAAGTGATGATGATATAGATAGAGATATTATTAGTAGAATTCAAGTTGGATGGTTGAAGTGGAGGAATGCATCGGGCCTATTGTGTGATAGAAAAGTACCGCTTAGACCTAAAAGGAAAATTTTATTAGATGATGGTGAGATTTGCAATGCTTTATGGCGTAAAATGTTGGCCTATAAAAGAGAAGCATAA